GTCGTGGCTGTGATCCATGGGCACTAGGAACCGGAGGAGCTGGGCTTGGGACCGGTACACTGAGTGAGACTGGCCCGGTGTGGGGCATAGCAATGAGTATCTACCTTATGCACTGGGTGCTGAGCTGGGCTGCGAGCAGCGCGCTTTGGGGAGGGTGGAAGATAGAGATACCTTGAGGTACTTTATAAGGTACTTTGTACCTAAGCAGGGTGGCAGGCAATGCTGGGTGGGGGCCTCCGTTATCCGTCACTGCCGCCGTCATTGTTAGAAACCTGGCAGGTACCTTGTTGTTCGCCATGCCTGAGGACTCAAAAACACGGGTAGATGCATATATACACATACACATGCGTCATGCGTCAATGTGGCGCGTATGTTCCTCAATATAGGTACTCTATGCGTATTCTCTCGCAGAAGAATATCAATGAACCTACCTGATTTCACGTTTCCTCATTGCGATATAATTCGCCACAGTAACAACCTTTCCCTGAGAATGTCTGCATCCCACAACACCCTTCCTCAATTGGAACATGCAGTACTTGTGATTGCGCCTCCAGGCACTTTTTGCTCAAGTGCGTCTCATGCTTGCAGCCAAAGTGGCTCTCCCCCGTGATTCGCTGCCCGACATGGGACATTGTCACAGAGAGCGGTTCATGATTTAAACATCTGTCCAATGGCCTTGTCAGAGACGGATATCTCTGGTTCATGAGGTTAAGATCATTGCGGGCCGAAGATCGGAACACTCTGCAGCATGGCAGCTCATCGTGTCTGACTAAGCGATCAAATGAATCACTATCGCACACCGAATGGGTTCGTGAATATCCGTAGGAGTCTCTTATATCCAGGTATCTTAATGCATTAGCCAATGCTTTCCCTTGACCTTGTCTCCGATCTGCGATCCGCCATAATGGATTCAGATTGTTTTCCCCATCCTTTTCACCATGCCAGCCCAGCCAGTCACCTCACTGACTACTACCTGTTCTACCTCGGCTGAAGACCCCAGGAAACAGTTTGGGATCTTGTCCCGAAGTGTGGCCGTCAGTTGACCGCGATGCTTCTCCCGAAGGTGCGAGACTAGTAGGGGAAGCAACTACACCCTCTTCAAGGACTGGTGCGCTGTCGGATTCTCCCACGACGGCCGTCTGCTTGCCACCTCCGTTACCCGCGGCACTGTCAACAACTGCGCTGGCCGGCTCGCGTTGCACCGCTGGGTGGTGCCCACCGATGATGCTTTGAGCCACACTCTGTTGGTCAGCCGTGACGACTGAGTCGGAGGTTTCATTGGCACCGTAGTTAATGTACTTGTGAAGCCTACCATTCGTTAGCATGCTGCTGGATCCTGATCAGAGTTCTGCCACCATGATACTTACATGTCATGTTCCTCTCTCAGGGTCTGGTATCTGAATTCTTCCCTGCGATCAGGCACGTTGGTTTTCACCATGGCATTGCCTGCCTTGCCCGGAAGCTTGAAATTGGGGCCAAGCCACTGCTCCTTGATCGCGCTTTCAAAGCCGCTCTGCTTGACTGAATTCTTTGCGAGTTCACACATGTCCACAGGGCTAAGCTTGTAGATCTGGGCTGCTACGGCGTACTCCTCCATCAGAGGCTCCTTTGTAAAAGCGAATTGGAGTGGATCGTCTGTCGACAACGAGACATTGAGACCCCGGCGGAAGTACTGGTAAAACGGGTTCCTCTCATAGGCAAGGAACAGAGCGTTGTTACTCAGCGGCGACATGGCGATGCCAATCTGTTCAAGATAGAAGATATACTGCAAAAGCGGAACCTTGCGTAGCAGTAGACCATGGCTGATGCTATGGCAACAAAGGAGAGCCACAGCCAGATGCTCGCTGTCACCAGCCTCACCACAATGTGGTCGTAGCACAAACGTGTTGAAACCCCGACGTTGGCGCAGTGCATTGAGCGACGACATATTGGAGAACAAATAATAAAGCCAGTAACTGTAAGGGGGGTTTTGCTTCGAGTCCCAAACCTTCGGTACGGGAAACTTTTTGAACAGGCGCCGCTCAATTTTGCTCTCGTCGTCGACACTGTCGAATCCGATTACCCTCTGTAGGAAGACATGCAGCTTTGGGTGGCTTGAGGGATCTCTGGAGACTTCGAACAGAGGCTCAAAAACATTCTTGACCACCTGTTCGAAAGTGTCCATGAGCCCGCTGGCCTTGTACACATCGTACAAACGGGGGATCTGAATGAGCCATCGTACGTTGTGGGAGAAAAGCTTGTTATCAACAACCCAGGCAGCAAGCTTGTCCCATTCGTCAAGGGACTTGCCGTAAATGGAGATACGCCATTCGACCATCTGGTATTTGCTCGATTCAAGATCAGCAATGACCTCCTTGGTGATTTCTGCCAAATAGCGGCCATTGATGAAGTTATCCGTCTTGAGGAAGATTGTGCGGAGCCGGGATTCGCCAATTGGGTTGTACTTGAGATTGAACTTGTCAAATCTGTGGAACGAATCCGTGTGCGCCTTGAGACAGGTGTTAGCTCATACTTTCGGAACGTATGAAGAGAACGACACGCTTCAGGACAAAAACTTACATGCATATCTAGAGTGTCAATGGAAAGGTCATACGCGGTGAGGTTGATGCTCTGGAACACCTCCGCTAGTGTGAGGTGCCTGTCGTCACGGAAAAGCACAACCTCGTCCGGACACTTCTTCATCTTGCTCTTGATGAAACGCAGGAGATGTTTCTGGTTCATGCAAGCAGAGTGGTGAACGTGGGTGTCAACCTTGCGAACATTGTAAAAGTCTCTGTGGGGGACTTTCTTGCTGTCCGCAGTCTCCTGATACTCGTTGAGGAGGGCGTAAAGATTGAATTTGCCTTCGAGATACTGAAGTCGACGGAATGCGAAACTCTTGCTTGGTCCGTCTGAGGAAATGCTCAGGATTTGATCCAGGTCCATGTAAAACTCTCGGATGGTGGGAACCCGAATGACTGGGTTTCCTCTAGCCTCGGCCTCTGCATCATCGAATACTTGGTAGACACCACTATCGTCAAGCTTGAATGTCATCTTGTCGGCGGAGGGAACTGGGAGCAGATCCTGCATATCGAAGTCTTCTCCAATGTCTTGACCAGGCTTCCGCTTCTTCGATGTGGGCTTAGCCTCGAATTCCTGTGCCCGACGGCCTGTGTGGTCACTGGCTGCTGCGGCAGATGATGGCAAGACCATGCTGCCATTCAAACTATTGGCGTTGCTGGTGGTATGGTCGGCAGAAGCCACAGCTCTTGCGTGCTCGGCACCCCAAGCTGGCTGGGGAGGAGGCGGGTATATTGACCAAGTAGAATCATCCCTAGGATTATCATCAGGTCTTTGGAGAGAGAGACCGATGTATCTCTCTCGTAGGTCCATGATGCTTTGAATATTCTTCGAGATGGCACTGAGCTCAGCTGTGATGTGCGGATCGGTGTCTGAGAAGGCGGCTACACCAAGGGCAGTGGGCTGGCTCGTAACGCCAACACTTGGGCCAGGTTCATGACCCAGACCCAGTTTGCTGAATTCACTGTTCAAAAGCCTGGGGTCGACTTCGTGGAAAGGGTGGTTCCGCGGGGGTGAGAAGTTTTCTGCACTGGCTGCTTGCTGCTGCTGCTGTTGCTGTGTCGGTTCCGGCAGCATCATTTCTTCGTGTGCCGGAGCTTTCCCTCTCACTTGGCCCAGTCCTTTACCTAGGGGAGATGAGTCCACCGCATAGTCGAGATTTCGAGTGCCGGCAGGAACATCACGATGCTCAGAGCCGACGATGACTGGGCTTCCGTGGGGCGATGCATGGCCTTGAGACCACACGCCACTACCCGTCTTCAGCTGGCCAACCTGGCTACGCTGGTAAAAGAGTTTGGCGTCGGTCTGGCTCATCTGGCGGTCCGCGACAGGGTCGTAAAAGGCGGTCCTTGTGGGGAGATCGCGAGGAAGCATGCCGTCTTGCAGACTTGCTCCATCGTGATCCTGGCTGTGAGGTGACAAAGGGTTTGCATCTGACGCGGGTGCATCGCCAGGCGTTTGCCCTCCTGACCCCTCGGAGCTGTTATCGCCCCGGGAGTCCAGCGCCCCCAATTCGCCGTCGGAATCGGTGTCACCATCGTGAAGCGAGAACGCGGGTCCTCTTTTGGGGGAGGTTGAGGCGGACGTCGGGTCTTTTTGGTTCAACAAGGCCTGTGTCTAATTACAGCAAACTGTCAGCACAATACGAAGCACGAAGCTATACGCTACACTACAGGGTGAAAGAAGAACTCGGTCTTCCATGAGGAATGAGGGGTAGCTTACCAGCGTGAATCGAAACTACCACATCCGTTTGGGGGAAGAGGCTTCAAAGAGTACATACCAGCCATATTGAGAAGCGTGTTGAACCCTACCGTGGAGTGTTGTAGAGCCCTTCCCCCAAGAAAAGGAAAAAGAAAACAAAGATCCAGTAATTCTCCAGAGACGACGGCAGAATTATGATGCAGGAGCTATCGCAGTATCGGGTAATCGCATGCACTAGGTGTCCAAGTGGGATAAGGACCAGAAGACAATGGATAAGCGGGTGGTGGAGGGGTAGCGGTTGGCTCCGACCTCCGACTTGCGACCACGGCGGGGTCCTAAGCTGCTACTGACCGCGGCCATAGTGATAGGTTAAGGTATCATGCTAGGTAGCTACCTTACCTTAGAGTACCTGTTGTGCCTATGTCTCTGGCCCCTCATGTGAGATACTATGGAACCAGTCTTGTCTTTGACTTACGGGCATCTACCCTGACTGTCTGGGCTGATACCATTCAATAGTGCATAACCAAGTCATGAAGCTCACCGGATGAGTCAAAGATTACAGTCACCATGTAGGTAGGTCACTATCAAGAGATACAAGCATCAACCATGCTGGTTCCCCAAACAGACACCTGCTGTATAACTCAACCACAGATAGACATGTCTGAAAGTCCTTTGAAAGGGTTTTCTAACTTTGCATCGGATCTGTGAGTCTGTCCAGTGACTGTCTGAAATTTCTAGCTCTATTTCGCACCCACATTCTTCTGCACCCTAGAGGTCTTGGCTCTGGAATCCAATGAGTATAGTCCTCCAGCTCCAAACACGATGATTGCCCCGACCAGCGTCCCCACGGCCAAGCGATTCCCAAAAAGCCATATGCTCAAAAGTAGACTGACCAGCTTGCGAATGTTCAAGACAATAGTTACAGTCAATGCCGAGGACACGGCAGCGAGCAAGTTTACACCCCGGATACAGGCGTACTGGGTAACGACGTTTGTCACCAGATAGGCAAGTTGGCTCGGAATTTGGAGTTCGAAGCGACCATCTCTCACCTCCCCCTTGAGGCCAAGGCCGGTAAGTTGCGCCATCGGTAGCGATAAAGGCGGACTATTTGCTAGTTTTCGAAATTGGCGGATCAGTGATGGCGCAAACGGTAAGAAGAGCGGCAGTGACAGAAGGTGTGAGTAGAAAAGATTCTCTCGCCAATGGGGGCCGTATTGTTTGTACGTCTCTTCAGTGTAAAGACCCATGATGGCGGAGAGGACCTGCGCCACGAACAGCACAACGAGACCGGTCCCAAAAGCAGGCTTGCCACTCCCCTCGGCTGCCTTTGAAGAGGTCTGATTTGTGATTAGAACGAGAGAGTCCGTGAGAATTTGGGCATCGCTTGGGTACCTTTGACTGCGAGTCCGACCACGCTGCTGTGATAACACCGAATGTCAGGAGAATGACAGCCACGATCTGTATGCGCGAGTACTTCTTCCCATAAAGAGACCCGGCAACCATGGTTGTGATGCTTCCACCTGACCGAAGAATAATGTGCACAGGAACGGAGATGTCATAGCTGAAAGCATGGTTGTTCAACACATTGATGCTGAAGAACAGGACAATATTGATGATCCAGCGGCGTAGAGGGACCTTATTCTGCTGCAAGAAGAACGGTGGTCTCGATCGATCGAATTGGGAAAAGTATCCGGTGACAGCCACAAAGAGGAATTGGACAAACGTCAAGAGGGTTCCTGGACACGAGCTTGTCAGGAGGAAGTATAGATCGCGGGGATCACGGCGACATACCACTTGCAGGTTCGACCCTAGAGGAAGAGGGCACGATTAGCAACGGCAAAAATCCAGAGGTTTGGCTTCCAGTAGCGGCAACGCCGGAGTATAGAAGCAGCGCTTACTTGATGATAGCTTCTAAGGCATACACCTTTACGCAGCGAGGTCAGCATGTCTGTAGCTTTGATACGTTCTGTTGAGTATAGGTTCACCAACATTGGAGCAGCAGCCGCCAAAGATCAGGCCGAGCATAATACCAACGGTGATCCATTGGGAAAAGAGACCGGCGACTATACGACCAGCAGTCTGCAGTGACTTTTCGCTAGGAGCGTGTCCATTCATCGCCGCACCATTGGCGGCCTGATCGGCCGTCTTCTCGTCATCGTAACCCCGAGCAGGAGAATCCATCTTCTCCAAGGGAGGCGATGAGATGCCTTTCGGCTGTCCGCGTCGTCGAGTGGTCGCCGGAGAGGACATTGAGGCTGTTCGGAGCCTGCGTGCGAATAGTTGAAAGGGTTAGACTAGACCTTTGGGGGGTTCAAAGTATAATTGCAGAGGTGCGGCGCGCAGCGTGCAGCGTATCCGAGACACTGGGACGCTGGTACAGCTGGGAAGCAGGTACGAGGTACGGATTGAGGTACCTTACCTTACGGAGGACAGATCAGGGCGAGGGCGGCCAATGACAGTGGCGCAATTGGGATCTGAGCTGCCCGGGCTGTGTCGGGACTCCGCTCGCGCCCCCAAACTTTAAAGACCACGTCTGTGTCTCTCAGTCTCTCGGTCTCGACTATCTACATGGGCGGAGACTGTCACGACGGAAGTCGGGTGCTTTGGATACCGGGTCATCTACTTTGCGACACCTGTACCTGATCTTGGGAGCTTCTGCTCAAGTTCAACTTGGAGCCGATAGATACATACTCCCCTTACATTGGATCCAGCTGAAGCACTTACCAAGACTTCCCCCTCATGCTCTCAAATTTGGAGACTTTACTTGCTACCTCAATTGGCAAGCAAGGTGGTCATGGGTTATTGTCAGATTTGTACAATGAAGTTATTGAGCCCACGGTCGGGGCGGCCACCTCAAACAACATGCCCCGCTCCACTTACTCCTTCCTGCCTTGCTCCGACCAAGCTCAATACCATACCTTCGTCACGACTGTGTAAAGTTGGGAAAATAAAATCTCGCGCCACGGGACAAACTACAGCCGTAGGACCAATCTCGGCATCAGATCGCTGCTTGACTGACGAATCGTATGCTGAACGCACCGTCCCATCTTGATCAACTGATAGCAGTAATCTTAATTGGCTCTTGGATACTCTTATGAAGGCAGGTGACATATCCATTACCTTGGATAGTCTGGTATAAAGGATATGGCTACAACCTACGCAGTGCAAACCTGCGAAACACACAAATACTCCATCTCGTGTACTTGGGCTTACCATCACACGTCACCCTATGATCAAAACAGGCGAGAATCTTGTTGCCTCCAATTCTACTATAGAAATCAGGGAGGCATTCATAACCGTGACGATGTGACACGATGGTCGGGTCCATCTATTCCTAGTGCTTCTTCCATATCTTCCACGCCGTTACTCCACCTCTGTCTTCTCCCCCAAGCACTTTTCGATGGTCCCAAGTACCCAGCAAACTCGTTCCTGCTGGTCGAGTTGGCCTCTCAATTCGAAAGTCTGGCAAAGACGGCGATTGTGTCAAGAGGCCACAGCTGAGACGCAGACCCCAGACACCTTCTCCTGTCAGCCAAACTCCCCAGGCTGTAGGAGGCGATAGCCTTGCTCCACATCGACCGGCTGTGTTGCTGTGCTTCGTCCGAGTATGAGTGACCTCACTCGGCATAGTCCTCAAGGGCTCCGGTTGTTATTCATCTCTATAGTGCAGAGAAGACAAATAGCTGTTACAGAGTTAGCCCACTCAACCTCCATATTCCAGAGATAAGAAGAGAATTATCGTGCCGCCAAGGACTTACGTTGTTCGTTGCCGCAATCGCAATGCTATCCTCAAATGGATGCCAGCTCATGTGGAGGATCTTCTTGTTGAAGTCAATCTGGTCGGCATCAGTTTCCTTGCGCATCCTTTGGCCCTGGCCACCGGCTCCAGCAGCAGGACTACCAGCACGGGAACCTCCCTTCTTGCCACCGTTGGTCGCGGTCGGGCTGGTAGACGAGTTGATGGGTGTCGGTACGCCAACCTTCTTAGCCTTGAAAGCAGACTTGTCGGCCTGCAGCACCACTTCTACTTCCTTGTCGGGGTCTGAAGGGTAGATCATGAAATTGTTGTTGTAGCTGCCAGTCATGACGTTCTTGGCATCCCCTGAGAAAACAACCTCAAACTTGTCAAAGATGCTGTCATTCTCATATGTATCGCATAACCGAGGACGAAGGTGCTCGTGGATGGGAATCGTCTTGACGGGCTGTCGCTCCATGTTGATGTCCCATATCTTCACCGTCAGGTAATCACGAGAGAGAATGTAACGACCGTCGTAGGAGAACCGAACGTCCGAGATGGAGGAGATGATTTCGGAGAAAAACGACCTCGAGGACGGATCTTCCTCTTGCTCGAAGACTAAATCGATGACAAAATGTTAGTGTCGAATAGATCGCACGAGGTTCAGACGGAGAAGCGCAGTACGTACGCTTTGCGTGGCTATCACAGAGAGCACTCTGGCGCATGTCGGCAAGCTTTATGGTGCCCTTGGAGCTTGCGTACATGAACCAATTGCAGCTCAGAGGGTGAAACTCGGCAGCGGTGATAACCTCAGTCAGCTCCTCCATGTTTGCAGGCTTGATGTCGACAATGTTAAAGCTCTGATCCTGGATATTCAGATTCCAGAGGTTGATGCGGAGGTCGTCCGAGCTGATAAACGTCTCGCCGTCGCTGTTGACGGATATGCTGTTGATATGATAGGCGTGGGCATTGGCGTACGTTCGGCGAGGTACGGCGGCAACGACGGTGTCATGATGGGTCAGGCGGGGCATGATGAGGTCTTCAGAGTTCTTGAAGCGATGCGCAGGTGACTGCTTGGGAGCACCCCCGCCGCCAGCAAGGTTTGCGGGAGTCAAGTCATCGGATAGATTGTTCTCGGCGACGACCTTAAGCGACTTTTCGAAAACCTTCCATAGCTTGATCGTCTTGTCGTTTGTTGAAAGCAGATAGTGTGACGCATTCTGTCGACGACACCACTTGATCTTATTGATCTTCTCCTCAATTTCCAGCGACTTCAGGTAGTCAAACTCGGGCTCGTGGGACTGGAATTCGGTATGGAACTTATACTCGCATGTCTTTTTCTGTTCAAGGATATCAGCATAACGTCAAGAATGCAGAGTACGCCCTCCATTTGGATGCCAAGTTGGCTTACCGTTTCGTTCCTTTCGAACAGTACGACCCGGCCGCCTTTGTCTCCCGTCGCGAGGTAATTACCCGTGTGATCGAACTCGACCGTTGAGATGATATCGGCTGGGAGAAAGTGTTAGATCTACAGATAATAGAGTCGGCAGAACCTGCCATGGTGGCGGCGGTAGCGGCCGCCAGACAAGGGATTGCGGGCTGCATCTTACCTTCGGTGATGTCCTCTACATCGCCCTTGTCTCCAAAGCACCTATTACGTAGCGTAAGCACCTATCCCAGCAAGGGCGAGAGCGGGGCAGTCGAGATGAGGATGATGAAAAGGAAGACATGGAGCAAAGGAGCAAGAGCACGTACTGGGTGAACTTCCACGTGGGGGAGTTCGTGTCGCTGTCCACCATGTTTGCAGACCAGTTCTGTACAGGCTAAGATATGGAATGGGAAATGTTGATATGGGCGAAAAGAAGAGGCAAGGTGGCGGGGTATGTCGAGGACGAACGAAGGGGCGAGCTTTGGTGGTGCGGTAAGAGAGAGAGGCTGTCTCTCGGCGCTGGGAGAATGTGGACAGGGCTGAGATGGGCCACACGAAAGTCGAGCTGGGCGGCGCGAAGAGTGTGAGTTGGTGCTGAGTTGAAAGTAACTGCGATGATGTGCGCGGAAGAGGTACCTAAAAACACGCAGGCAAGGTGGAGGAAGGCGAGAGGCAATTGCGGGCGAAGAACAGCCGAGTGATTTCTATCTCGTTGGGATGAGGCAGAGATAGATCGGGCGGGTCGTAGTTGACGAGGGGTTGAAAAGGGAGGCCCGTAGCTCGAAGGCTCTGCGGTAAAGAAGGGTAGGTGCGTGGTGTTTGGCGTATGCGGGAGCGGGAGTGGGAATGCTTCTTGGATTTGCAAAAAGGCGTATGTCGTCGGATGCAGGGACGGTTGAGTGTTCTGATGACGGCGAAGACCAGAAGTCGGTTGGTCGAGGGCTTGCACGTTGTTCGTATGGAGGGGGGGGGGGGTATCGCGGCGCGGGTTGCGGGTAGGCGAGAGCAGGGTGCAGACTGCGCAAGGTTGAGGTTGGGGTGAGAAGGTAAGGTCAGGTAGGTGGGAGTGGTGGAGTGATGATGGACGGGATAGAAAGAGGTGACGCTAGAGTAAGGCAGAGAGAGGGATGTTGCGTGCGTGGGCTCGGTTTGCTTCCAGGTCTTCCAGATTTGCTAAGGTACAGGATAGGTCTCAAATCCATACTGTATTCGCACCCGGCTGACTGACGGATGGCACTGGTACCACCTCAGGATAGGTAGGTAGGTGGATGGCCTAAGGTACGGGTGCTGCCCTCATCGTCCATTGCGCTGGGTTACCCACCTAGGTAGGTGACTATTGTACCCAACCTAACGGGCTCCGATTTGTGGCTGCCCTGAAAGCGGGCGGGATGGGGGTCAGCACCTCATGGGAATCCAGTGGGAACCGCATAACTGTACTCCATACGGTATACCCAAGGTCGACCGACAGTTGCTGATGGGACCGGGGAGGGGCAGAGTACCTCAGGTTGAGGTGGCACGAGTGGGTTGGAGGCACGGGCTCGCCCAGCACCTACCTCAAGTTAAGGTAAGTAGTACCTTAAGTACGTACGAATACGTATCTATCCGTAAGGACCAGTATCGACTTTTGTCCCATGTATGGATTGATAACTAGCTTACGTAAGGTTGACAAAAGGGTGAACAGAATCTCCCTGCTTTTTACGGTGAAGTCCTTGAGACAATGGAAAAGTAGGCACAGAACTGATATACTGGATCGTGGTTCAAAAAGTCGACAACAGCAGGGTTCGAACCTGCGCATCCGAAGATAATAGATATAGAACGTGGAATGATTCAAGTCTATCGCCTTGGACCACTCGGCCATGTTGCCTTGATACAGTGAAGCCTTGAACTGCACAAGATGCACCTGCTCACTGCGGTTCTGAATCCCCGCCTTCCGCTCCCCACACCTGAGTCCCACTAAGTGGAATGGTGAATAATGGAAGCTCGAAGCTGCCAACTGCGTTGAGATACACTATGAAACACATGAACGGGGCTGACATGTGCAGCCAAAGAGTCCGGCCGAATGGAGATTGCCGAAGAGACGTCAACTGCTTCCGGGTGAAGTCGCATGCTTGGTGCCCGTCTCTGTTCCATTACATTGCCTTTGATAGGGGCATACCTAAGGTACCATTTATCACCTGGGAGGCGAGGAATGTACCTACCTACTCACGGTACCTTGCCTTACCTTGTTCGCTCCTCAAGTTAAAGGTACCTGGGCTTAGAAATGGATAGGTACCTACGTACCTCAGCTACGGCCCATGATGCCACGGTACCTATCTAATAGTTCACCTCATACCCGGCACATCAACGACAGGAGAAGCCCACGGCAGGCATGAACCTCGGTCTTAGTGTACGAATACATGCCAGACATTTCACCCCCCCCCCCCCCCGGCACTTGCAATATCATGTCACCAACAGTGTGTCTCGCGGAGCCCAAGTTGCCATTCTAAACCCCCCAAGCGCCCACTACAACCCCTTCTTCACTCCTTTCAGCATGGCCGAGCAGAATAGTCGCGATGCCATCTCCAGTCCCAAGGGTAAGGGCAAGGGCAAAGAAGCTTCTACCGCCCCTCCCTCCGATGTCCAAGCGGCGCCTGATGATGGCACAGTTCTACGTCAGCAAGGCGACCGAGATACACCACTCAATTCCTCATTCGCATCTCGCCTCACGGCGTCTGCGGCCAGCCTTTCTCGCATGGCTCTGACAGCTTCGTCTGCTACCGAAACCATCCGCAACGGAACTACGGGAGCGAAAGTTTCACCCGGAACCTCCTCCTACTCTGCTCAGGGCTCCGGAAGCCACCGGGATATTGCTACGTATCGCAGCCCACGCAGCGTGAACACCGGCACCGTCGTGGGTTTTAGTTCGGCAACGAGTGTATCCACCGCTAGTGGACAGCAATATGAAGACTTCATGGACGCTCAGGCTCAAGCGGTTCTCGATGGTCACTCCCAGCCTCAGAGGTCAGCTCAGGTTCAAGAAAGTAACTCGGGGACCGTCCTTGTCAGCGAATACGGTCAACACATGCCTCTCTCATCAGGCATCCAGTCCGATTGCCAGGAACAAGAGGCCAAAGACGGCCTAGGCGTTGTTGAACTACTTGATTCTCTCGAATCGGACGATTTTGACGGGAATGACGACGACCTACAGACGTCTATATCCTCAGAAGAAGAATTGTCGCTGAGAAGAGCCCTTTTCGACGATAACCATGGAAGACCTGCCTCCAATTGGGCCTGTCTCCTCGACTTCCAGCCTTATTTCCTGAATGGAGACGATCCCGCCGAGTTATTGCGGCATTTTGGCGTAGCAGATGTGCAACAAGCCAGAGCCATGTGGATGGATAGTTGGAAAGATGTGCTTACGAGCTACACAGACGAAGTTTGGGGTGACCTCGGGTCCCTCGCCCGACAAGCGCACCAAGAAATCGAAGAGGCGCGCGGAGATGGGACAGAAGCTACGGCAGGCCCCGGCGAGATGCAGGCACTTCAACGACTCAGACAGATTCTGGCCCATGTTCGAGGCCGTTAATCGCGACGAGGGGTGCTGTGCAAAGCTTGCTGCCCTGTGCATCAAGACCAGGGCCCGAGGGACTGAGGCCAGGGTTGCTCTGCCAACTGTCCCTCGCCCAATGACATCATGCGATTGCAACGCTCATTGCCCCCCTCACCCTGCGAAGCCCAGGTGCCCAGCCACCTCACTCACCCTGGCGGTCCCTTTGGCCTGGGTAATCCGAGGGAATTCGCATGCATGCAACCCACCTCACCAAAAGAACGAGGGCGGGGTTGGACAGCTCACCTTACTTTCTCACAGTACCTTAGTTCGAGTGCAGGGACGAGAAATTGGGCAAAAGCCTTGGCTGTGGCTGGCAACCAGCAAATTGACAGCGGGCAGGCTTTGACACTCGTGTAATCCTCCTGTTGGAGCAGCTTGAGAGCGACATACAAGTACTACTGTTTTAGCTCTCCAGCCCATCCAATCCTTCACTCTTCCCACAACCACACCAAATTCGTGGCCAGCTTGTGAGACAACTGCTTGATGACATCCGTGACGGATAATTGACTATCTAATCCCGGATCGAGGAGGCACCGGCTTATCTATCACAAAAGTCAGCAACAGACACTCTTCCACTTCAGCACGGCGAGAGCGAGGAAACAGGGACGCTACGTCAACTACGATTCGGGCCTGGCCCATTGTGTCCACGAAAGCATGAGGTTATCACGATGGACAACGCGACTGGCAATACTGGGGGCCACAGAAACGGTATTCGCCCTGAGCCCAACTCCGACTTCAACCGGCCCCAAGGCTATGGTTCCCACCGCCGCTTACGTGCTAGGCGGTGCTCCTTTACAACTATTCAGACGTCAGGATTGCCCGGCTGGCACATCCAAATGTTCGGATTCACTAGGCGCGACATTTGATGGAATTTGTTGCGCCACGGGACAAGTGTGCGAACTGGACGATAACAACCGGCCAGCTTGCTGTCCATCTGGGTATGACTGAATCTCCGGCGTTATTTTCATTATGAGACAAAGCCAGGCTAATTCAGAGTCGAACATTCTAGAGCTGTTTGCACCGGCACGGCTCCGACTACAGTACCGACTGCCACGGCAGTCTCATATGTCCCTAATGCTTACTTTCCATTCCCTTACATAGCGACATCACTCGATCGCGGCGAGTGTTTATCGGCCCTCAGCCAATGTTCCCGGAATTACCAGAGTTGCGTCACTCAGTTAGATGGCAATGCGGGCTTTGGTGTCACTGTGATTGTTCCTGGCGGGGGTGGAACCACCGTCGCCGCAACTCGGCCGGACGTCGGAACGTCGGCGACACCCATATGTTCCAGTCTTAGCTCCCAAGCATGCTACGGCTTGTCCAACGACCAGTGTGCTCAATCGACCACGGTGAATGGCGTCGTCATCAACGCCGCAGCACGCCCAACAGCGGCCTGCGTGGCAAAACTTGCTGCGGGCTTAGGAATCGCCGTGTTCGGTGCCATGCGATGAACGGCAAATCAGACGACTATCAGTTCAAGCAATTGGATCAACGTGGGGATGAACTTGTTTACGCAGAGGAAACGACTCGTGGAGTCGTGCATTCCGTCACGTTGTTTGTTTCTTTGGTCATTATTCGCCTGGATGAGATGGACAGGGAATACCCCGATGCAGTGCCGTGGGTCACTTGGCTATTGAATGCGGAGCCCCAACATCTTGATTAATGTTCGTCTCTATCATCTTGTACACGGAGTCCAACAAAACGTCGGATGCTTCGCACCGCGGTGTAGGCCCAAGCCTCGAGGACGTCGCTGAGTATTTCAATCATGCGACTGAAAAAGAAAAGGCTAATGAAGGAGATCCCGGCAATCACGGAAAAACAGACCCAGTACATCTTGGGGGTGTAGTGTTCCACCAGATCGGGTATCTCGACAGAGAAATAGCTGGTCATGAAGGTTATGGGGAGAAAAAAGACGCTCAGCTTGGCTAGTACGGTAGCGCTCCTGCTCAGGCGTGCAGTCGCCTGCGAGTCCCTTTGGGCCGTAAGATTGAAATACTGCTCAGCAGCATCGTCAGCAAACATTCAATACACTCCGCTCAAGCATGCTTCCCGGAAACCTACTGTGTTTGAGAGTGCGTTTTGCTCGTCTAGATACTCTTGGATTGTGTTGAGCATCAACAGTTGCAGTCTGTCTCCAAGGCGCTCGAAGCGACTTCTTGCTGACGATGAGATATTTACCTCGCCGGATATGCTTCTAGATACCTCTAGGTGTGCACAGTGACCCTCGTGACAGGCATCCAGGGACCGAGGCCAACAGATGCGCCGGATGAGGCTTTTGTAACCCTCAAACAAGTGTTGGAGCTGGCTAAGCTCCTTTCTTAAGGTATGTAGTGATTCAATAATCTCCCCTGTCTTTACCTTGGTTCTCCGGCTCTTGCTTGTAAGTCAGCTCTCTGCTCCTGTTACGGCGTCAGTGACCTACTGGCTTCAGGATTTGATCGCTCTGCAACGCAATATGGTATCAGCAGGTGTCCATCCTCAATTACAAGTCATGGTCGTCGAGACTCGGTTCTCGTGACTTACCAGTCGACCCAGCTCTTGTTTGGAAGTTCTTAAAACTGGCAAAGCCGACGAATAGTCCTCAAAAAGATAATAGAAGAGATTACTCGAGCCTTCGCAGGCAGCGTTGCTGTCGAGTTCCGATCGAGGCATTGCCTGCCTGACCGGCTTCAGCGAGAGAAGCCTTCGTTCGAAATCTTCTACACTGTGTTTGGATAGTTGGCACAATACGCTGGTCGTGTTGGATCTCGTATTGACGAGTTCTGCCATGGTCCATTCTTCGTCTTCGGGGTGTTCTGACGATGGCGTCTCGTGGAAAGACACCACGACGGCTATGTCGGTGATGAGCACGGCACAACAGTTCGTACGAGATTTTCACAGAGCATTTCGCAAACTTACCGTCGGAGCTGAGGGCAAGCCATGACCAGTGCCTGGGTGGTAACAGACTTGGACTATGTTCGGTGGCTCTGAACTGTGGCCGGGTGTGCAACCAGTTGGCACCGATGCATAGGACTGGTCCATGATCAGCTATTTCCTGGCAGCAAGTATAGAACTGACCTGACAGAAACTCACAGTTCTTCCCTTGGTCAATTGAGGTGTAGTTGACCGTCTCCTTCACAAGTTGGTAGATCTGAAGCTCCTCCAATACTTGTGCCTGCGTCTGTCCCGGTGGTGGAAGTACAGGGCCGTCAGACAATGACCCCTTCTCGACATCACCTCGTCGGGGTGACACCGGCGTCGCATTGGTTTGCTTGATGTATGACGGGGCCGGAGCCGTCATAATGGCGAGAAGTCTCTTGGAAAACCCATACTGGGCGCCGATGCGCTCCACGGCCGGTTTCTGCATGCTCGGTGACCAGATATTGATCCATTGCACCATGCCCTCTTTGCGTTTTCGGGCAGCGAGGTGGCTGAAATCATCAGAGGTCAGGTTAAAGGCGATGAAGGCCTCGTGGAGGTTGAACTCGACGACAAAGTTGAGAGCCTTGTCGCTGGCAGCCTCGGTCTTGACGCGAGTGTACACGGCCTCGTCGTCTAGATTCTGGAACTTGTCGTCCAACGTGGCGGCGGCAGTGGGGGTTGATATCGCCATAATCTCTGGCCAGTGCACTATTTCGCTGACAGGTATCCGTCAGAGCACATAATACGGAGAAGACTGTTTGTGATGTTGAAGCTTGCGATGATGCCTTGAGCTGACAGCCTTGGCCAGTTGAGAGCTGTACGAATACCTCAGCCCTACATCTTATGTCTGTTGTAAACCCATGCAGCAGAGAGTGGCAGGGCGAACCGCTCGTTCACATTGTCTCACTTGATTCGCTGCAGAGGATCCGCCGATATTGGTTCGCGGCGGCTATCTGCACATGCGTCGGCGCCTATTTGAGGTCGCAATAATACCCAGCCCGTATTTATGCGGCAGGGGTATCAGAAGCTGCCCAACGGTTGTTGAGGCGATTTTTCTTGGAAACATACATAGTCTTTAGAAATTTCATGCGTGTAACATCGTAATTAAAGACCTTCAACTGCCTCTATTCGCGTTCCTGCTTCTTAATGTGAGTACTCTGATCACGAGTAACGTCGCCGACGTGTACCACCACTAATTTGGACTTCAATCGTCAATCTATAGCATCACATTCGTAATCTAGAGTCTTCTGGGAGGTCACGAATGAAACTTTTGTACGAGCGCAAGACAATTGAGCTTGCCCTCTTTAGTTACTTCGGATCGAATATCTGTATGGGTTGCTTTCTCAAATGCTGTCTTGATATCGGTTATTCGAATCAACCACGCAGCCAAAAATGCTACATTCTTTGCCCAGCTCTTCCGCTTAACAGTAATCTTCCGCTCTTGCACATTATTCAACCCGGTCGTCATCTGGCACCGCGCCAGGAGCTCTCGTACTTTCCCCAAAGCTCATAAAGCTCAAGTCCTCGCAGATACTTCACTCAACCACTGCCGGCATGAGTAGATCCTGCAAAATGTCCAGAGTGAACACATTACCTCGCCCCCTAGACAGGGAATCTCCAGGGCCATCTAAGGAGATTCGAAGAAACTGCCGGGCAACGTTCTCGGCCTCTTCGAGTCTAGCTTCATCTTCAGCATCTAATCTAGCACACAGCACCCCAAGGTCTTCATTTCGGGCTAAGAGCAGAACAATCGCCTCAGCTCGCTCGATCACCGCGGTATCAATTCCATTCAACGCTGCGCATCTGCTCCCGAAACTTGACGTGCTTCTTCCTGGAGCTAGACGATAAAGGAAAACCACTTGGTCCTCCATCTGGTTCGCGTCGATATCAAGACGGACTTCCATGTGCGCAAGCGACAGCCCTGGTCGCTCTTGAAGATAGCCACCTTCGAATATCTCATGATAATGCGTTGTGACCAGAACTTTGGGGGACTGTAGACCGATTGTGCTGAAGTGGTCAATGAGGGCAGTCATTAAACCAGCTCCATCATCAGCTGCCGTCCCTTTGCCAAATTCGTCGATTGCCACGAGTGTTCGATGGGTAGCACAACTCAGCAGGAAGGCCACTTGCCTCAAATCGGTACCAAATGCACTCTCCGCTTGCGATACACTTTCCCGCGTCGAGATACGGGTAAGAATCTGGTCCGTGAGACCAATCGTAGCCCCGGTAGCGGGCACGAAGCTGCCAATATGGGCAAGGTAAACAATGAGGGCAACCTGCTTGACATATACACTCTTTCCCGAATGATTTGGTCCCGTGATAATGAGAGTGCTGGCACCAAAATAATTGTCTGGCGTCGATGTTGGTGTTCCTGTTCCATCGGCAGAGCCACCGATAAGACTGCAGTCATTGGAGATGAATGCAGGCACCGCAAGCTCCTGAAGGGGGTGACGTCCTTCGCAGATTGACACAACGTTGTCTTCTGTCATAGTTGGGCAAACCCAGCCATATTTGAGTGCACCGCTAGCAAGGGCTACAAGGCAGTCAAGCTCGCCGCAAACATCAGACACGCGACTGAGGGTAGTCTCATGTTCGAGGATCTTGCAGGCTAGACCGTGCAAGATATCAACCTCGAGATCTAGAGAAATATTAGCAAGGCAAGCATCTTTTCAGCAAGACCTGGCCACGAACCAACAATTCTGCTGTAAGTGTCCCCGAAGTGATCATCTAACTCTAGCATGAGGTTGTTCTTGAAGTAGACATTGTCGTTCGCCGTGAATCTTTGCTCCCAACGGTCACCGGACAGTCCTTGGCCTTCGTAGCCTGCCTGAGTGCCCTCGAGTAAAGGGACGACAGTGAGAAAGCCCAGCTGCGGCCAGAATACACAGCCTGTGACGAATTTGCGAGCCCACGTTGGGAGCTCCAAAGACAATGTTGTGCTGACCTCGTTTAAGAGGAATTCTAGCCCTTGGTAAGTCTGTTTCAATCCATCGAGCTCAGTGTTTACGTGTAATCTCACAGCGATGCGTGAATTTGCCTTGGTTTCCTCGAAATCGACAACTTTCCCTATTAAATCTATAATCGCCGTCAATTCGTCCACTGCGACGATTTGCATCATCTGTTTGATAGGGTCAGCTTTCGCTTCGGCAGATGAGTTGCTACCATGGATTACCTTTTGTATGATGATAAGGCCATTGGAATTTCGCAGCTGAAGTATGGCGTCTCTGAGCCGTAGCACATGGAGCGAAAATCGAGTTAGTGTCCACCAAACACCACGCTCGATTGAAGCGCAGCCAGCCGGAGATTCTGCTGCGCCTCTTTGCAACTGAGCCAGAGTGTTCTTGATGTCTGTAACCTTCCGCAATCCTTGAGATATGCTCGCAAAGGCCTCCTCGTTCCCCGATTGCAGGAATACCGCAATGGTTGCTTGCCTCTCGCGGATCATGTTGATGTTGACTAGTGGACGTAAGAAGAGTTGTCTAAGCCTCGCCTTGCCCTGAGGGGTGCCAGCGAGCGGATGAAAGATACCGAATAGAGACAAGCTCTCTTTTGAACTGGAGGCTGTTTTTCCAGTGCCGGATATCAGGTTACTTGGATGCAATTCGGACTGGAAAACTTGGAGGGAGGAGAGCGTGTCGGCGTTTACGAACATGAAGTCCGCCAAGGCAAACATCCGCAGCGACACCCCCAAAGTCTTTTCGGTATCTTCTGGTGCTCGTTCAACATTTTGAATTCGCATAGTCTCGCACAGTACGGCCCCGGCACAACCAATCTAGCGTGTGTTATAATCACATCTGACAAGTATGGCATTTCCTTGATCATAACTTACTGATACAACGCTCTCCAGATCTACAAAAGACCCGAGACGCATCGTCTTGACATCTTGACATTCCTCTCCAGGACCCTGCAGCCCAATGTCGGAGAAGACGAATCCTGTATTCGTCAACAGAGCATGTTCCGAGGCGGCGATCGGTAGATTCGTTAATCTATCCATGGCAGCGGCGTGGCTGAACTCGGCTGAGCCTAGAAGTCGGAGAATGTAATTTTCTCTTTCAGATCCTACGAAATAACTCATCAACGCCCCAAATCGCTGCCCCTGTCTCAGGAAATGACTAACCTCGGTCCACATTACTTTGATAGCTCTCGAAGAACTGAAGAACCACATCCGGTACTTTCAAGGGTAACAAGACAATTGTTGGTTGAATGTGCAGCATGAGCATTTCGACAAACTGCAACGGCTCAGTGCAAGACATATCCTGCAGAAGAAACAAGCTGTTCTCGTCTGTACTGTAATAGGCACATCCAAGGACACCTTTCACTTGAAGAGAAACGGCCATAAGAACCTCGTTCCTCCGCTCTACCTGAGCCGTTGCTTCTCTACCAAGCAGTAATGGTGCTTCGTGCTCGCTGGTTGACGGTTGTAGAGATATTCGATCATTGCCGGATTCGACTCCAGCAGCAATCGAGGGCAAGAAGCGTTCGTTGGACGGTAGTGCCAGTCGACTCGCGGTGTCCATGGGGTGATTTCGATACCCGATATCTTCAACGTATCGTCCTGTAGATGGCGAATTCCCCTCAAGTGATGGTACACGGTTACCACGAGGGCTCGAGAAAATGGGCGAGGTGTGGTGCGGACCAACGACACTGGAAGTACCGCGCGATCCTCGGAATGCACGAGCGGAAGATCCCCTCGAACGACGAGGTGTACACGAGCTTCCTCTTGAGCTGACAACCGAGCCAGTCCGTGGTTCACCTTGTTGGTCTCCCCGCGAGCCTCTTTGCAAGTCAACTCTCGATTGACCTCTAGAACTTCCATGAGGGAATCCTCTACGAGGTCGACTACGCCAGGGACTGGACTTGACGCTGCTTCGTCCTGGCATTGCTGGACGTACAAGTAAATGGAACGGAATGACGGGGCGACTTGAATTCGACACGGCGAGGGACAAAAATGAGTAATTTGTGTCCTTGGGGGAAAAAATTGACTGGAAATCCAAGCGTGATGTATTGTATGGATGGTTCGAAAGCGAGACGAAGAGAAGCTCAGAACGGTAGAACTTAGGTAGTGGAAGGAGACAAATTTCGGCTAACACGAGCATGTCCAGGTATGCTAGCACGAGTTTGCTTGCGGCAGGTTCCCATAATTCGCAGCTCTAAATGCCAAGGACCTGGACTTATCCCAACCCAAGTCGTGCTTGCCTCGAAGACACTGGGAAGCTTGGTCAGGCAAAGTACCTACCTTACCTTATGGTATTTGCCCAATTGTGTGAATATGGCGCCCCTGGCGCACGTTGATTAGGTAGCTCTGCCGAGCATTTCAGGTGCCTATCAGAAAGCACGACGGAACCGCGGAAGGAGCACCTAGCTTTGCTGATATTCTCCATAGTTTCCTCCAACCGTCGGGGCTACGTATGAGTGGGTAATTAAAGCAGGCAATCAACTTTCACGAAGCCAGGTTGCCTTCCAAAGCAACCTCGAGGAGCACTTTACCGATGCTGGTGTACCTAGTATGTGGAAGAGTCTTCTCCGTTGTTCGTCCCTTCTTGGGTTATGCTTTTCTCTTATTCTTGATTCTGTGTCGGGAGGTACACCGCATCTAGATACCTTGCCAACTGCGTGGTGAAGGGTAAAAATTCATCGTGGCCCCCAGGTAGGCAGCTGTCTTCCGAGGCCATTGCGATTAGCACTTTGACA